ACCAGAAGTGCCTTCTCCACCTTCAAGGTCCGGGAGCCCAGGTTGGGAGGGTATTGGCTCCAGGGTGATAAACAATTCTTGGCTGTTGGGGAGAATGGTTTCTCCGCTTGCCTGTTGTGCGCTATCCTCCTCCTCCCCAAAATCCCCATCCCTGTTGTGTGAGACTCCCCCCTTGCAGGTGTCCACAGACAGGGGTGGGTTAGTGGTGGGGGCACCCCTTAGAATTGCATGCAGCTCATCACAGAAGTGGTATGTCTGGGGCTCTGACCTGGAGCAACCGTTTGTGCCTCTGGTTTTTTGGTGGGCTTGCCTGAGCGCCTTAATTTTCACGTGGCACTGCTGCAGATCCCTGTTATAGCCTCTGTCCATCATGCCCTTGGAGATTTTTTTCAAATATATTGGTATTTCACCTTTGGAACGGAGTTCTGATAGCATGGATTTATCTCCCTATACAGTGATCAGATTCAGTACCTCCCGTTCGATCCATGCTGGAGCTCTTTTTCGATTCTGGGACTGCATGGTCACCTGTGCTGATGAGCTCACCACGCTGGCCAAACAGGACATGAAATTCAAAAGTTCCCAGTGTTTTCCTGTGTACCTGCCAAGTGCATCTGAGTTTGAAGTGCTGTCCAGAGTGGAGCACTCTGGGATAGCTCCCAGAGGCCAATTCCGTTGAATTGCTTCCACACTACCCCAAATTCGACCCGACGATGTCGATTTCAGCGCTCATCCCCTCCTTGGCGAGGAGTACAGAAATAGATTTTAAGAGCCCTTTAAGTCTGCAAAAATGGCTTTGTCATGTGGACAGGTGCAGGGTTAAATCAAACTAATGCTGCTAAATTCAACCTAAACTTGTAGTGTAGACCAGGGCTAAGTATCTTCATCCATAGGTCTCAGTACTTTGCAAAGGAAAGTAAGTGTCATTGTCCCTGTTTTACATATGGGGAAACTGACCGATGGAGGGAGTGACTTGCCCAAAGTCACACAACAGGGCTACAACAACACTGAATACAACAATAGGGAAATGGCAGAGTGGGAAATAGAATTGGGTTTCCTGAATCTCAGGCCAGAGTCCTATCATTTGCCTGCACTAAGGGGAAAAGATGTATTTCTCAGGTAATCTGTCTTTAATAGTTTTGCATACCTTCAAATTAATTGATAAATGTTTAATAAAGTTTTCAGAAGGTGTATTGTTCAGCAGATCATTTGAGAACATAATCAGGGTTGATTAAAATGCAGATTCTTGGTATGTTTGTACACTCGCTATAGTGAAGTCAAAGTTTATTTGACCATAACTATTTTATACCTAACAAAATGACCCTAAACCTGAGGGGGAAGCAGAAAGAAGCTTTTGTGGGGGCTGAATGATATTGAATAAATTAGTTCCCAGGAGAAGGGGAATATAGTTTCAAAGACTTTGGTTTTAACTGGATTATTCTGGAGAATTTGGAGGGAAACTGCAGGGGGTGCTTGTAGGACCACTAGGGGCAGCTGCTCTGCATGACAAAGGAACTGCAGAGAAGTTTAACTGTCCATGAAGAGACTGTCTGGTTGTGGTCACTGCATGATATCTCTATAACTCTTTCTATGGACAGTTTCATCCTGAGTGGTCATACATCAGTGACTCACAATGAGTATGACATTAGTGACTGTTGCTATAACAACAATAGTCCTCCAGGGCAGATTGGAAGAGGCCCTGGAGGTTTTTCAGCTTCCTCTGGAGCATGGGGCACGGGTCACTTGCTGGAGGATTCTCTGCTCCTTGAAGTCTTTAAACCACGATATGAGAACTTCAGTAGCTCAGACATAGGTGAGAGGTTTTCACAGGAGTGGGTGGGTGAGATTCTGTGGCCTGCATTGTGCAGGAGGTCAGACTAGATGATCATAATGGTCCCTTCTGACCTTAATATCTATGAATCTATGAAACCTTTTCTAAAAACTTGGGCATCCGCAACATGCATTAGTGGTCATTGTGTGTACCAGAAATGTTCAGGGGAGACACTGTATTTGCATGTGAATAGATCTTTTAAATGGGGTGGATATTTCATTCTAAGCTTAAAAACAAATTAGAAAATCTGAACTCTTAACACAAACAAAATTTAAGAGTGCGTAAATGGCTCCAGGGATTAGTAATGGGTTATGGAGCCTTCTGCCTCTGGCTGCAGTGGCTAGTGATAAGATACAATAAAAGATCATGGGCTTGTGTTTTTACAAAACCTGCATTTGGGATCTTGTTCAAGCTGTGTCCTTTTAAAATCATGTAATGTTGATTGCAATCTTGTTTTTTAGTCCACTTCAGTTCTGATGTAATTTTAACAGCTAATGCTTCACAAGCTAACATAAAAACAGCCATACTGGGTCAGCCCAGTGGTCCATCTAGCCCAGTATCCTGTCTTCTGTCAGTGGCCAATGCCAGGTACTTCAGAGGGAATTAACAGCACAAGTAATCATCAAGTGATCCTTCTTCTATCAACCATTCCCAGCTTCTGGCAAACAGGCTAGGAACACCATGCCTGTCCATCCTGGCTAATAGCCATTGATGGACCTATGCTCCATGAACTTATCTAGTTCTTTTTTGAACCCTGTTATAGTCTGTCCTTCACAACATCCTCTGGCAAAGAGTTCCATAGGTTAACAGTGAGTTGTGTGAAGAAATACTTCTTTGTTTGTTTTAAACCTGCTGCCTATTAATTTCATTTGGTGACCCCCTAGTTCTTGTATTATGAGAAGGAGTAAATAGCACTTCCTTATTTACTTTCTTCACACCCGTCATAATTTTATAGACCTCTATCATATCCCCCCTTAGTCATCTCTTTTCCAAGCTGAAAAGTCCCTGTCTTATTAATCTCTCCTCATATGGAAGCTGTTCTATACCCCTAATCATGTTTGTTTGCCCTTTTCTGTACCTTTTCCAATTTTTTTGAGATGGGGCAACCAGATCTGCATTCAAGATGTGGGCATACCATGGATTTATATAGAGGCAATATGATATTTGCTTGAGATTAATGCTGTATAGCATTTGAAAGCTGGGATTCCCAAATGGCCTTTAAATTGTATGAACTCTAGCAGTGTGAGAGAATCCTGGAAGTGCAAAAGAGGGGTACCCTCTCCCTGCAAAATAATCCAAGCATAAAATGGCTATCAGAATGATGTGAGTTCAAGATCCTGCAGCTTTCCTCTCTCAGGACTAGATAGGCCTAACCCCACACAGCTGCCTTGTGCTTGCTCCCCTAATGTGATGCGCACCCATTTCTGTTGAGAAGGGGAAGGACAGAGCCTAGCCAGGTGAGGTGAAGGGTTGAGTCTGCATCTTCACAAATACCTTATTTTGTCCCATAGGATTTCACCCTCACTGTCCCCAGTACCTTGTGTTGGTATGGTTTTCTTTGGGGTAGGAGGGCTATACAGTGCATCCTTCACAACTCCTTTCATAGCTATTAACTCCTAACTAGGCCCTGACTGAGCAACAGAAGTCTCATTCGCTGTTCTCTCAGCACAGAGTCTGAGATCTGAACACTGTTCTCCCTTTCAGAAGTGAAAAATCCAGCCTAGAAGGGTGCATGTAATTGTGGGAAATATCAAAAGTATTCTGATGTTGAGTTGATAGGCTCAGAGCTTCCACAGGCTGTGTATAATACCATACATTGGTGATGTCATTTACTAACTTGACATTGAACTGTACTTGGCAAGACAAAGAGAAATAATTCTTTGAACCCCTTGGCTTGACTCTTCCACTTTGAATCCTATTCCTTAATGGCTTTCCTTGTATTGTTTTTTACGCAGAGAGCTGTCAGGCTAGAGAGCCTCTTTTGTAAATTCCTCTTCCAAGTGTTCCACAGGGCTAAAATAATTCAAAAGACTGTGTTTCAGGGTATACCTAAGCTTTTCAACTCAAATCAGGGTAGCTCGCTACGAAGTTTTTATTCTGATCAGAAATTAGTTAAATTGCTCTCACATCCTCTAGATATTGGAGACTTTCTAAGTGATTACTACAGTAGGACATGTTTCAGAGTAGCAGCCGTGTTAGTCTGTATTCGCAAAAAGAAAAGGAGTACTTGTGGCACCTTAGAGACTAACCAATTTATTTGAGCATAAGCTTTTGTGAGCTACAGCTCACTTCATCGGATGCATGGAGTTCTTGCCTCAGGATGCTCATCTTATGGGAGAGTCTGAAATCAGGGGGCCATGGATTTAAGTCTACTATAGCTTGGTGAATCAGGAATTGTCAGCTGTCTATGAAGCTGCAGATGAACTGTGTCGTGATGAGGTAAAGGTTTGCTTTAGTCAGGCTGTGACTGTCTGGAGACAGGAAAGACTCCTTGACTAGTCAGCCAGTTGTTCAAGGCTGTTCTGTGGTTCTTTTCTCACATTTCTTAAATTGTACAGATAGGATGTAGTCCTCAGCAGCTGCAGTACAGTATGCAGCTATTCCCATCAAATCTTTCTGCGTCCGTTCCTCCTCCTCGCTGTATTCTGGCTTGTGTTTGGGGTGAAGATGTCATCAGTTTTGAATTAATGCAGTGAGGCCATGGGAGTAAAGTCTTTCCCTGTTCATTGAACTTTGATAACTCTGTGTGCTAATTCAGAATATCCCACCCTGAAAAAGCGTGCATGTTTTCTGTGTTTGGGTGGAACAGTGGTTTTTCCCCTTAAAGTTCAAATTGTTGTGTATTGGGTTTCAGGAAAGGTTTTTAAAGCCAGGTTGGCTAGCAAGTCAGTGATTGTGTTAGTTCATGAAGTGGTTTCTTTCTGTGAGCTTGATGTGTTGGTGTTTCTTCTCTGGAAGACTCAACCGATGAGGAGAGTAGACAACCAGTAGGAGGAATCAGAACATTCCCAAGTTTTTCCTGATATCTGATCGGCTGTTGCTGCTTGTCAGGAATTAGCATGCTGAGCTACAGCAATCCAATTGATAGGTTAAATGTCTTATTCTTTGAATTTTAAGTAATATAAAGAAACTACTGTATCAATAACAATCTTCTTTTAATTCTGAATTTTAGAGTTAACCCTGAATCCACCAGAAGGAATAGTAGCAGGTAAGGAGCTATATAGAACTCATGTTATGTAGGTATGTGTCATTGACTGTTGTTCGTAAAGCAATGATGTATCTTTTTTTTTTTTTTCTTTAAATAGGGCCTATGAATGAAGAAAACTTCTTTGAATGGGAAGCCTTGATCATGTGAGTTGATACTCCTTTGGAGTTAAACTTCATCTTACATTTAACTTTTTGGACTAGCTTGTCATAAAGGAGAGCATTAATACAGAAAATCTTAATTCAGTCTTGTATATTCTTGCGTAAAAGAGAACTCCATGCAATCTGCTCAGTCCGTATTCAAAGGGGGAAGTTGGGAACCTCTCTGCCATCAGACCATGATCTGGATTTGAAAATAGAACACTTGCACTTGAGTCGTCTTATGCTGATGGTCATATTGTTGAAGGAATAATAAAAGTTTGTGACGTTGGCCCAGTGAAGTAGTGTGCTGGGTGTAGTGGCATACCCCAGGGATCATTGCTGGCACTACATCTACTTAATGTGTACGTAAATAACTTGGAAAACAATGAGTTGCCTGATTTGCAGACTGTGAAAACAGGTAACTAAATTCAACAAAATAGGGACAGATTTCTCACTTTATAAGCAGAAGAAGACAGACAGTTTGCCAGTGTTACATCTGTTTTCCTTTTGTCTCCAAAATTAATTTTCGTTTTGTCCCCTCCAGCACTTAACCAAGGTGCCAGAATGATCTGGCAAGCTCCACATTTACTGTTATGGAGCATACAGGGTCCATAGGCATTGTTTGTAGAACATATAGATGCTTACTTAGGGCATGTCTACACTTGCCATTTAAAGCGGAAAAAGTCCCTTTTTTGTACAAAAACTATGGAAGTGTCTACACTTGCCAGTGACTTTTTGCAGTGAAACTAAGTTGTTACACCACAAAAAGAAAACCACCTCCACGAGAAGCGTACAGCTCTTACTGGTGATGCTTTTGAGGTGATGTGCAAGTGAAGACGCATTCTTCCTGTTTACACAGCTTTTAGCTTCTGGAGGATATCCCACAATGCCTAGGTGACCACTCTAGCCAGCAGCTCTGCTGCTCCAATGCCAGGTAAACAGACATCCACTCCTCCCCCTGTAAAGCCCCCAGGAAGTTTGAAACTCCCCTTCCTGTTTTCTTGGCAAGTACTCACTTATCTGGCCCGGTGACAATGCCTGCTCCATGGAGCAAACGAACCCCTGCATGGAGCAATGCTGAGCTACTGGAGCTTATCAGTGTTTGGAGAGAGGAGACTGTGCAGGGACCCAGGATGCCCCCATCACCTCCCCCTCTCCCCTTCCCACAAGACCCATCATGAAACTGGAGAGAGCTGCACTGTGGGATAGCTGCCCTAGAGCGCAGTGATGGAAGTGCTGCTAATGTAAACACTGTCTGACACCTCAGGAATTAAGTGAGTACACAAACCAGTGCTTTACTTTCACTCATTCCCTGTCACTGGTGTAACTTATAGCGCAAAAACTCTGCAAGTGTAGACATACCGTTAGCTTTCTGGGAGGAGCTCAGATAATATAGGGGTAGGCATGGTGTAATCAACACCTTAAACTTCATCCAGAAGTCAGTGTGTAGCCCATGAAGATCACATGGCACAGATGTAATATGCTGTGTGTGGAAAGCTGCTCTGTAGGTGGGCTGCCTTGTCTGGCAATAGCTGTGGCTTTGGGATGGTATGAACGTGTAGTCTGTGCAGACCATGTTGTAATAGTCCAATCTTGAGTTGACAAAGGTATGGTTAGGCATAGTGAGGCCTTACATCTGAAAGGAAAGGATGCACTTTCTTGCCAATCATGTGAGAGGCTTATAGCTTTTAACTTCCTAGGGATGTAAATATCAATTTAAAAAGTTAACCAGTTAAATTATTAAAATTATACCATTTAACTGGTTAACCGTTAACCAAGGTCGTTCCGGTGGGGCGACTGGGGCTGGGATCCCACTGGCCTGCCCGCTGCTCCCGGGGCCGCTCCAGCCTGCCGGGGCTGGGGTCCCTCTGGCCCACCGGCCCAACACGGCCAGGGTAAACAGTTAAGGTCCAGTTAATGGTAAGCCTAATGCTTACTGGTTAACCTTTTACATTCCTAAGGGTATGTCTACACTACGAAATTAGGTTGAATTTATAGAAGTTGGTTTTTTAGAAATCGTTTTTATACAGTCGATTGTGTCCCCTCCCCCCACACAAAATGCTCTAAGTGCATTAAGTGCATTAACTCGGTGGAGTGCTTCCACAGTACCGAGGCTAGCGTCGACTTCCGGAGTGTTGCACTGTGGGTAGCTATCCCACAGTTCCTGCAGTCTCCGCTGCCCATTGGAATTCTGGGTTGAGATCCCAGTGCCTGATGGGGCAAAAAACATTGTCGTGGGCGGTTCTGGGTACATGTCATCAGGCCCTCCCTCCCTCCCTCCCTCTGTGAAAGCAACGGCAGACAATCGTTTTGCACCTTTTTTCCTGAGTTACCTGTGCAGACGCCATACCAAGGCAAGCATGGAGCCTGCTCAGCTCACTGTCACCGTATGTCTCCTGGGTGCTGGCAGACGCGGTACTGCATTGGTACACAGCAGCAGCAACCCATTGCCTTATGGCAGCAGACGGTACAATAGGCCTGAAAACCATCCTCATCATGTCCGAGGTGCTCCTGGCCGCCTCGGTAAGGTCAGTCAGGAGCGCCTGGGCAGATATGGGTGCAGGGACTAAATTAGGAGTGACTCGACCAGGTCATTCTCTTTAGTCCTGCAGGCAGTACTATTGTACCATCTTATGGTGAGCAGGCAGGAGATGTGGATGGCTAGCAGTCCTATTGCACCATCTTCTGGCAAGCAGCCAGGAGATGTGGATGGCTTGCAGTCCTTCTGCACTGTCTGCTGCCAGCCAAAGATGTAAAAGATAGATGGAGTGGATCAAAACAAGAAATAGACCAGATCTGTTTTGTATTCATTTGCTCCCCCCTCTCTCCCTCCCTCCCTCGGTGAAGTCCTGCCTGAAATACCAGAGGGAGGGATAGCTTAGTGGGTTGAGCATTGGCCTGCTAAACCCAGGGTTTTGAGTTCAATCCTTGAGGGGGCCATTCTGTGGGACAGTTGTTTTTGTTTCTCCTTGATGTAAAGCCACCCCCTTTGTTGATTTTAATTCCCTGTAAGCCAACCCTGTAAGCCATGTCGTCAGTCGCCCCTCCCTCCGTCAGAGCAACGGCAGGCAATCGTTCCGTGCCTTTTTTCTTGCCATACCATGGCAAGCATGGAGCCCACTCAGATCACTTGTGCAATTAAGAGCACATTAAACACCACGCGCATTATCTAGCAGTATATGCAGCACCAGAACCTGGCAAAGCGAAACCGGGCGAGTAGGCAATATCAGCGCGGTGACGTGAGTGATGAGGACATGGACACAGACTTCTCTCAAAGCACGGGCCCTGGCAATGTGGGCATCATGGTGCTAATGGGGCAGGTTCATGCCGTGGAACGCCGATTCTGGGCCCGGGAAGCAAGCGCAGAGTGGTGGGACTGCATAGTGTTGCAGGTCTGGGATGATTCCCAGTGCCTGCGAAACTTTCGCATGCATAAGGGCACTTTCATGGAACTTTGTGACTTGCTTTCCCCTGCCCTGAAGCTCATAAATACCAAGATGAGAGCAGCCCTCACAGTTGAGAAGCGAATGGCAATAGCCCTGTGGAAGCTTGCAATGCCAGACAGCTGCTGGTGAGTTGGGAATCAATTTGGAGTGGGCAAATCTGCTGTGGGGGCTGCTGTGATGCAAGTACCCAACGCAATCAAAGATCTGCTGATATCAAGGGTAGTGACCCTGGGAAATGTGCAGGTCATAGTGGATGGCTTTGCTGCAATGGGATTCCCTAACTGTGGTGGGCGATAGATGGAACCCATATCCCTATCTTGGCACCGGAGCACCAAGCCGGCGAGTACATAAACCGCAAGGGGTACTTTTCAGTAATGCTGCAAGCACTGGTGGATCACAAGGGACATTTCATCAACATCAACATGGGATGGCCGGGAAAGGTACATGACGCTCACATCTTCAGGGACTCTGGTCTGTCTCAAAAGCTGCAGGAAGGGACTTTATTCCCAGACCAGAAAATAACCATTGGGGATGTTGAAATACCTATAGTTATCCTTAGGGACCTAGCCTACCCCTTAATGCCATGGCTCATGAAGCCGTACACAGGCAGCCTGGACAGTAGTCAGGAACTGTTCAACTATAGGCTGAGCAAGTGTAGGATGGTAGTAGAATGTGCATTTGGACGTTTAAAGGCGCGCTGGCACAGTTTACTGACTCTGTTAGACCTCAGCAAAACCAATATTCCCACTGTTATTACTGCTTGCTGTGCGCTCCACAATCTCTGTGAGAGTAAGGGGGAGACATTTATGGCGGGGTGGGAGGTTGAGGCAAATCGCCTGGCTGCTGGTTATGTGCAGCCAGACACCGGGGTGGTTAGAAGAGCACAGGAGGGCGCGGTGCACATCAGAGAAGCTTTGAAAACCAGTTTCATGACTGGCCAGGCTACGGTGTGAAAGTTCTGTTTGTTTCTCCATGATGAAACCCCCCGCCCCTTGGTTCATTCTACTTCCCTGTAAGCTAACCACCCTCCCCTCCTCCCTTCGATCACCGCTTGCTGAGGCAGTAAAATCATTGTTGCTTCACATTCATGCATTCTTTATTAATTCATCACAGAAATAGGGGGATAACTGCCAAGGTAGCCCGGGAGGGGTGATGGAGGAGAGAAGCACCAGGAGGGGTGGTGGAGGAGGGAAAGACAAGGCCACACAGCACTTTAAAAGTTTAAAACTTTAAAACTTATTGAATGCCAGCCTTCTGTTGCTTGGGCAATCCTCTGGGGTGGAGTGGCTGGGTGGCCGGAGGTCCCCCCACCGCGTTCTTGGGCGTCTGGGTGAGGAGGCTATGGAACTTGGGGAGGAGGGCGGTTGGTTACACAGGGGCTGTAGCAGCGGTCTGTGCTCCAGCTGCCTTTCCTGCCGCTCAACCATATGCTGGAGCATATTAGTTTGATCCTCCAGCAGCCTCAGCATTGAATCCTGCCTCCTCTCATCATGCTGCCGCCACCTTTCAGCTTTAGCCCTCTCTTCAGCACGCCACCTCTCCTCCCGGTCATTTTGTGCT